GCGAGAAGGCTACCGAGCTGACCTGGCCGCTATGGCCCTCGAGTTCTCGGGTACACTCGCCCGTATTAGCGCGCCAGAGCCGCACCGTCTGATCGTCTGAGGCCGAGGCCACGAGCGCCGAGTCGTGCGAGAAGGCTACCGAATTGACGCTGCTGTGGTCCTCGAGGGTCTGTATGCATTCATCCCAATTGCTCGCTGCACGCGGCTTGATTACTATCCAATCTGGCAGCTCATTCTGAAATAAATTTCTAATGATGCTTCTCTGCGGAGCAAATAGGAGAATTGAAGAATATATCTGTAGAGGTGCGGTACTGATGACTGCTAAGTTAGCTTGGAGAATCCGTACGGCATCCTCGAGAAATTGGGACAGCGCGTTGTTACTCTTGGGCTGCTGTATAGTGAGTAACCTTGTCTTTGCATATCATTGCATTGGCTTACCCGTAGGAGGGCTTGTAGCATTCTGCTCATGCCAATGCTTTCCGGCGCTCGTCGCATTAAACTTAGCGCTTCGATCCAGTGCAGGAAATGGCGTTTCAGGAATGAGTAAGCTTCGTGACAGTTGCCACTACGCTTCCTTGCGCCTTGGAGGTGGAATACCCAATTTAAGCAGGCATACTGGACTTCAGCCGGGATGTAAGCGTCGATCTTCTGACTATCTATTATTGAACTCTCCATTCTCGATAGTCGTAGATCACAGATGTCTGCTCGGAGGAATTCGTTCATAATACGCAGACAGTTAGCTGCCATCTGCGTGTGGGCTTGCACCTCATCAACCCAGAATCTGTTCTCCGACCGCAGCTCGGAGTCTAGCAAGAAGTCGCGGAAGGACAGATGCAGCAACCTAACGGGTTCCTCGGGAGACGGAGGGACGCTTAGCACGGAATGGAGCATATCCAATTCTCCATCAACATCATTCCTGGGAATGTCGAGCATCCGCGCCAGGGCAGCTGTTGATAAGGGGCTTGCGAGGATAATAATCGAGCCGACAATGTTTCGAAAGCCAAGAAGGATTTCTTCTTGCTGCTTAACAAGTAAGTCAGCAATAAGGTTGTCCAAGACGGGCATGTACGTTTTGCATAGTTGTGACAAATGGCCGGCCCCTGCTCGATGAAGAACTTTCTTCAGTTGTGTATCGGGCGTTCCGATCCTTCGGTCAGCAATGAAGAGGCATACGGTCGCAGCAACAATAAAGAGCGGGATTGCCATCTCCAATAGGGTCTGGGTATTCGACCGCCCCGGCCAGTCTCCGCCAAGCTGTCGGTCTTCCGGGACCGACAAGTTATATTCATCTCGGATCTTTGCAAGCTCGTGCTCCAGAAAGGTGGATATATCACGCCCGACCACGGTCTCCGGTATCTCGTGGAGTATCAAGTCTCGGTAATTGCCCTCTATGGCCTTGAACCCGAGACGGATTGGCAATTCCGGTCGGCTGGTCAAGAAGACTTTGAGCCGCAAGGACTGCAGCGTCCTGGTGCGAGAGAAGAGATGAATCATGAGTTTGACGTCATCCTCCGTCTTGCACTCATCTAGTGCATCAACAATGATGACGATTGCCCTTCGATTCGGATCTGGGGCCAGCATCAACATTGGGTGCCAAATGAGCTTGTTAAACTGCTCTCGCATTGTCCGTCGCAAGATCCCAGGGTCATCGTCAAAGGCCTTTTTAACATGACGAGCGGTGGCAGGCACTCTTCCCGTCAGGTCGGCCGCAATTGTAGAGACGAACTTAGACATGTTCCCTCGATCCGTCTCGCCTCTTTTGAAGAAGAAGCTGGCGCCGAGATAACCACCACCGGCAAAATTATGGGCGACGGTCCGAGATATGGTAGACTTCCCTGTGCCTGCCATACCGTTGAGCCAAAACACTGCCTCGGCTTCGGCGTCGAGAGCCCATGCGGATATTTGTTGCAGAAGTTCGGCTCGGGTATCCGATAGACACGTCGGGTTCTGTCCTTCAGCGCGGGAGTCGAAAGAAGCCCCCACGGCAACTTCATTCTCGAGGCGGCCGAGCACGGCCTTCTGATCGAGATCGAGAATAAGAGTCCTAAGATTGGCTCGTCACCTTCGTGCTGATGGGTAGTGAGCTGAGTAACGTACGTCTGATCAACTTGCAGCGCCAGATTAATCGCCTGTGTGCATCGCGTAATGTCTTGTATGACCTTCTCGACTTCACTGTTCTCGAATGGCCATTTAAGAGCACGGAGCCGGAGCCGTGTCAATGCCTCACGCGCTGTCTTTGGGCGAAGGCGCTCGTGCAGGGTTCGCAGTTGCGCCTGGGATTCACGAACGGTGTTGCGCAACTGCTGAGAAGCTTTCAGTCTCTCGCCGCTTGGTCCAATAAGCAGCTCGTCGACACTCTTTGCAGCGCTTTGGAGACCGACAACTTCCGTGCGGAGTCGGGCGATGTCATCCTTGGCGTTCTTGACGCCCTTGGAGTATTCGAGACACAGTGAAGCGACCTTGGCGGACAGCTCCACGACCGCAATAACGCTTGCAGCAACTCCGAGTCCTTCCATGTTTGTCGGACACGATCGCTGGCTGGTCGTCGGGTGCGAGATTTGGGCTCGAAAGTTAGGCCCCGGGGGCTCAGGCAGCGGGGGAGGGGTGGTTTTCACCCGGCTGTAAGTTGTCACGACCATGAATGGCCGACGACGCCCGCTTGCCAGTTGGATGCATGCCTTCAACCACGCAGCGCCGCGGCTGAAGCGGCGGCGGCATCGTTGGGGACTGATAGATGGGGACTCGTGGATGGGGACTGGTCGATTTGGGACTGATGGATGGAGGTAAGGTTGATGGCTAGACACAGCTGGACAGATTGCAGTCCGTCAATGGGTGGAGCAAGTCACGTGCAGTAGCACGTGCGACTCATGCGACACGTTGGCGAATGCCGGATCATGAGATAGTGGGAAAGAGCAAGGTTTGGCGCCACAACGGTCGCAGTGCCGACGACAGCGGGCGGTGGCACTGACAGCTTGTGGGAGAGGGTTGACAGAACCAGGCTGGACTTCAAAATCCAACAGGTGGCGAGGGCGTTGACACGCGGTTAAGCTACGGTTAATGCTGGCCTTGTATTCCCCTGAATAATCGCATGCGCAGACCCACTTTCCTGCACAGTGGATTCATGGCTCGTGCGTTCAAAAGATCACAAAAGAGAGTGTCAAGGGGGAAGGCGGTTTCGCTCGCAGGTGTAACATGCTTTGAATGATCAATTAGAATCGGAATAGAGCGGGTAACAATCGACCTCTTGAATAACCCCAACAAAGTCTGGTCTGCACCATATTAAACGTAAAATAATGGGGTCTCTATATTGCA